TTTCTCTCTAGTACTAACTCTCTCTTTCTCTCCAGTACTAACTCTCTCTGTCTCTCTAGTACTAACTATCTCTCTTCGGGTTTTATGATGGTATATATGGTGGAGTGTTTTTTTAAATAAAGGAGAGTACGATAACCGAGTGATTAGAAAACAAGTCTTACAATTGGTGCACTAGCCGATCTTACTGTCAATTCAACAACACAGTAAGTAACCCGAAGTCGTACATGAACAACAACGAACGAAAACATTATACTCGAAGCATGGCACAAAAGCAAGAAATTTCGTCATTAACCGATTCTGAACACAAAACAAGACGAGAACCATCTCCATCCTACATCGAACAACAACAGATAAAAATGGATGATCAAGGTGAAAATAAACAAGCGCAAATGGATATTCAACAATCAAATCAAATGATGTTATTAATGCAACAGTTATTGGCTAAACAAGATTTGTTGCTGGATGAAAACAAACAAATTAAACAAGAGATGGCAACACAACAGATCACCATTAACAATCTTACACAAGCTATTGAAGCTATACAAGTAAGCAACGTATTGTATCACAATATATTGCCAACAAAACCATCTTTATCATTGACAACGGCTCCGTTGTCGCAGTCAACATCACCTGTTATCATGAATATCGAGTCTAGTCTTAAGGAACAAGCTGCCAAACAATTACAGTCCAAGAGAATCAACCAACTTCTTGATTCTACTCCATTCACTGGATCAGCTTCACAAGAAGTCTCAGATTGGATTGACGACTTTACTAACAAGTGTGATCAAGTGCAACTAGACGACGCACAACGTTTATCAGTAGTTATTGATCTTCTCAAGGGCAATGCCAAATTATGGTATGACACACACAAGGACACAATTAATGATTGGGTAACATTAAAAAATAAATTAATGACCTATTTTCAACTTGTCACTGGTACCGATCATTTTCAACTCGAACAAAAGCTTTATAATCGTCGACGACAAACCAATGAATTGGCAATTGATTATTGTCATAATGTTCTTAAACTTTGCTCAAAGGTTAATAAATACATGGATGATGAAACTCGACTCAGACATCTTACTAAAGGACTAAATGCAGCAGCTCAACTACATATGGATTTAAAAAGCCCTGCCACTGCTGAAGAATTTCTTCAAGCTCTCATTAAGTATGACAAATGGCAAGAAGAAGAAAAAATTCAGGTGAGAGCTACCACATCTTTTGATAATCGTAGAAATATAGCAATAAGAACAACGCAACAGTCTCTCATGCAACAAGAACCATATTCTCCGATTTCACAACACCAACAATACAACAATTCATCACAACAGCAATACAACAACGCGTCACAACAACAACAACAACATCATTATACAACACATGGTTCACATCAACCTCAACATAACAGCGAGAAAAGCTATGGTGGATGTTGGTCATGCGGTGGTATGGACCATTATCAATATAATTGTTCAAAAAACTACTAGGGGGAGTGTGTGATGGTTACACTTCCTTTTCACAATCTCATCCATCACTTATAATAATTGGCACAATCGTTAATGGTACATTAATTCATACGATGCTTGATACGGGAGCTACTACATCACTTATATCACAATCTGAACTCGATCATATTAGACATCCACCAATTCAGCAAATTCAAACAACAGCAGTACTTGGTGATGGACAAACAAAAATTACAGTCAATGGTGCAGTTGAATTAACTATAACTATCAATGATATCACTACCACCATTACAGCTCTTGTTGTCCATTCATTAGGTGCAAAGTTAATTCTTGGTATGGACTGGTGCAAATTAAATAATGTGAACGTGAACATCGGTAAAAAACAAGTTGAAATCAATCATCCAAAATACGGAATTACAACGACACCTTTCTTGGACTTAGGCTCAGTCGATGTCCATCTCGCCGAATGCATCATTTTATTACCACATCATGAACATATAGTCAAAATGTATGTACCGATTTCATCTGCTAATCTTGTTCTTTTTTTACCAGACAGGGAAAAATGTGCTAAGTTAAATGTTCAAGTATCTGATGCTTTTGTTGAAATAAAAGACTTCTCATTTTATGTTTGCATTTATAATCCTAACAAAAATATCTACAAATTAGCTAACACTATAAAACTAGGATCAATACACTATCAATCGAATGATGAAATGATGTACAGCATATTAAACCCAGCCAACCAATCAAGTATGACAGAACAAAGTGCCCACTTGAATTCGATACAGACAAATGAACAACAAGAATCATCAAAATCATCATTACTCGAAAATATTCTTCAAGAATTAGTGATGCACATTGATGATAAATACCATCGCAATGATTTTCTTAGCATTCTTCGACAAAACAAACATTCATTTGACAACTCAAAAATGACCAGAGCAAAAACCAAGATTCATCATACAATCAACACTGGCGATCACCTACCAACAAGTGTTCGACCATATTATAAGACAGTACAACAAAGAAAGGAAGTTCAACAGGAAGTAGGAATGTTACTTGATCAAGGAATTCTTCGACCCTCAAACTCACCATGGTCATCTCCAGTATTATTAAAGAAGAAATCGGATGGTACCTATCGATTTTTGGTTGACTTCCGCCGACTCAATTCAATCACCAAAAAGGACTCATACCCTCAACCATCAGCTGAAGAATTACTTCATCGTTTGGCTGGGCATCAATACTTCACCAAAGTAGATTTAAAGTCCGGTTACTTCCAAATACCAATACACGAATCCGACATACCCAAGACTGCTATAATCACTCAAGATGGACTCTATGAATTCACGGTGCTTGCTCAAGGTCTTATGAATGCGCCACCAACATTCCAAAGGGTGATGAATGAATTATTAGCCAATGGGCGTTGGGACTATGTGGTTGTCTATCTAGATGATATTGTGATTTTTTCAAAAACAATTGAAGAACACAAACAACACGTGGCGGACGTTCTCTCAACACTTCACAAGGCCAACTTTCAAGTATCACCAGCAAAATGTTCAATTGCCGTCGAAAAGATCGAATTTTTAAGTCACATTGTTACATCTGACAAAGTGGAACCATCATTAGACAAGATCAAAGCAATTGCTAATATTGCTCCACCAAAAACACTTTCACAAGCCAACAAGTTTATTGGTAAAGTTGGATATTATCGTAAATTTATTCGAGACTTCGCAAAAATTGCTGCACCTATTCACAAGGTTACTAACAAAACAAGAACAAAAAGAAATGAATTTCGTTGGGGTCAAGAACAACAAGATGCCTTTGAAAAATTTAAATCAATCCTGACAAGTGCACCACTATTCCTCGATTTTCCAAACCGATCAGTACCATTCATCTTATCTACAGATGCAAGTGATCTGAGAATTGCTGGTGTACTCAAGCAAGATACAACTGATGGATTGAAGATCTGCTACTACAAATCTAGATTACTCAATGACACTGAAAGTAGGTATTCAACCACAGAACGAGAAGCTTTAGCAATTTACTGGTGTCTAACCGAATTGAGAAATTATATTGGAGATTCTGAAATCACCATCGAAACAGATCACAAGCCATTGGTCAATATGCATAAGAAGAGAAACTATGGAAACAGAAGAATTGATAATTGGCTGATACATTTACAAGATTTAATACCACAAATTATTGAAATAAAATATCGGTGTGGCATTGACAATATCGGTCCTGATTATCTTACTCGATATGAAACAATTGATAGTGACAATCAACAACAGTCGCTGTCTGCCATCACTCGATCAATAACAAAAAAAGCAGCTGCAAGTGCTTCGTCATCACCAACCGTGACCGAAGATCATCCGATTACATCAACACCTCTACTTAAATCTACCTCAATTTTAGACTTAACTTTAGAAAAGATCAAAGTTGAACAAGATAATGATACTGATATTCAACTTATTATTTCACGTATTCATGCCCAAAAGAAAATGAATAACTATGTACTATACAACAGCGTCTTATTTCGTCTCATCACCAAGAAAAACGATGGTACCAAGAGCAAGGTTCCTTATTTGCCTGTATCAATGCTAAACACTCTACTAGAAGCATTTCATGATCACCCATTGAGTGGACATTTCGGAGTGCAACGCACTTTGCATAAAATTCGTACTCGATTTTGGTGGCCCAATATGCGCAAATCAATTGAACATTACATCTCATCATGTCAACAATGTAAAAAATTCAATATCATAAGAAGCAAAACACCAGGTCATCTTAAATCGTTTGATCCACCAACAGAAGTATTTCAAGTACTACATATGGATTTCTGGGGCCCTGTTCGCACGTCATCACAAGGAAACCGATATGTGCTAGTGCTTACGGATAATTTATCAAAGTACGTAATAGCGAAAGCGATGTCAAATAATACTGCTAAGGCTACTGCTGAATTCCTTATGAACGAATTTATTATGATACATGGTGCACCTGAACGACTTATTACAGATAACGGAGTACATTTTAACAACACATTAATGAAGACAATTACTGCAATGATGAATACTATTCATGCATTTTCAGCTTCGTATCATCCGCAAACGAATGGCCAGGTGGAGCGCTTCAATGCTACGTTTTGTACACAATTGGCAAAGTATTATGATGAGAACGAAGATGATTGGGATGATTATCTTCAGTCTGTGGTTTATGCATACAATACCGGCATTCATGCTACAACTGGCTTTGTTCCGTATGAACTTGCATTTGGTCGACGACAGAAGAGTCCATTCGACTCCAATTCAAGCAACTTCACACTAACTCAACCGGATACATTTTTCAAACATTTACAAAAAATACGGCGAACGATTCTCAAACAAGCTCAAGAAAACATACGTCACCAACAACAATTAACAAAACTAAGATATGACAAACATCGTAAGGATATGTCTTATTCGATTGGTGATTTGGTATTTCTCAAGGTATGCGTCGGCCGTACAAAATTAGGTGAACGATGGATAGGACCCTGTCAAGTGACCAATAAGACAGGTGAACAAAGTTATTTTGTTCAAGACAAAGAAACAGGTAAATCTACATGAGCTCATATTAGTCAACTACAGCCGGTTATGGAACGAGTCATATAATCACAAAATATTTACATTGATACAATCATATTTGATCACCATTATCAATAGCGATCGAAGACGACGTGGCAACGTCTTATCATTATCAAACTGAGGTGTGGCAACTCAGATTCTGAATTCCAGCGGACCTTAAGAACAACTTCAAAAAAAAAAATAGGGTTTTCATTTTATTTTCATTTTTATCTTATTTACACTGATAGTTGTTCGATGCGCGGGACGCGCATCTTTTTTGTACGGGGGAGGTGTTATGATCTGCACCTTCCGTGAGATCATATCATCACTTCTATTCTCCTTGTATGCGATTTTCTCTTGATGTCTCTTGTCACAGGTCAAAGGAACATATATTGTTCTGTGTTCATGCTCTTATTCACTCTCTTTCTTTCTCTCTAGTACTAACTCTCTCTTTCTCTCTAGTACTAACTATCTCTCTTCGGGTTTTATGATGGTATATATGGTGGAGTGTTTTTTTAAATAAAGCAGAGTACGATAACCGAGTGATTAGAAAACAAGTCTTACATAAACAGCTTTTTCTTCGAACCTTCTCATTATGCCGTCTTTCGATGCAAACCACCTATCAGCTTTTGTCGTTCAAACGTCAAAGTTAGAATACTTCGTTCAACATTCAACTATACATTTCATAGCATGAGATAAATGTTAGATGATCCAGATGTAATACTACTAAACAGGAGCTCTCTTCATGCATCTGACAAGATTAAGAGGCTTTAGTTCTGAGTCCGTTTCTCGTGAATAATATAAGTAAGAACATCTTAAAAAGCCATAAATATACAGAGCGAAAAATGATATACCAATTGATATAAGACGCTTAACCCTTAGTGTTAAAATTCATTAGGGCAAGTTTACTTCACTCCTTAGACGTCTATAGAAAACACGATCGTGATTGAACGATTGCGTACCTTTTAACAGTGAGGACTGTGTATAAGTAAAAAATTCAGATTCAAAAACGAACTCAACAGTTTCTTAGAACATTACATTCTGAATCGAATGAGTGCATAAGTAGATTTTCAAACTCTAATCAAATACCTCAAAAATAAAAAACAAACGTGTCCAATTTTATTTGAACCATAGCTTTCTACCATTTTCCCCTTTTCTATTTAAACACGTAACGTTCATCGGATTCCGATTCACTTATCCCTACACTGACTTCCTACTGTGTTATAATAGCTGTTGTCAAAACAATCTATAACACTTATTATCATCTTTATTAGAATAAAGCTCTCAGCGTAATCTCTACGAGATTAAAATATGAAACACGATTAGAGGTGTGGGTGTGGGTGTGAATTAAGTCGACAACTATACTCACCCCACACTCATATCCACACCCACATCCAATGCCAGACAAAGATATTGAGCACAAAGATATATCTATAAGTATGAGGATACCAATACGAATTGCACTTTACTGCGCTGAATTCAATGAACAGTTCGAGATGTTTAGTAACTAAAAGCGTTCTTAAACTGTATTCTTATACACAATTACACACGTAGATATAAGGTGTATTATCAGAACCATAGTGGATTTGTTCTTGGTATCAAATAGCGTTGCATGCAGAAAGTACGATTATTTACTCCTTGGAAATAGTACATAATTTTGATTGGACAAGAAATGGAAATGACACGTCCAAGGTTAAGTGCACCGTTCATTTTTAATTGTCTTCTATGAATATCCTTAAAATATATCTTTTAACATGGATGTAGAAACAAGTATTCCTTCCTTCTGAAGAATTTTGACACAAGTAAATAACGTATGCTCAGATTTCCATCAAAGTAAATTTCCTCAACAATGGAAATTTCCATCATAGCAAAGTAATCCATCAAAAACAGCAACTAACAATCTACAGAAAACTACCAGAAAATTTCGGCAATTGTCGAAAATTCCTGCAGTATAGTCTCTGCAGATATCTCTAAAGACAAGGAATTTCTATCTCGTGAATGAGTGAAAATTTCGGAAACTACTGAGATTTCCTGGTATTTTTCGAAATTTCCTAGTAATTTCATAAGTTTTCACGTATTCTTTGGATAGGGTCTTCTTTTCATAATATGATTTTATATATTCATATGATGAAAAGGAAACCGTAGTCAAAGAATGTCTAGAGGTTTTCGAAATTACTAAGATATTTTGGAAATTAACAGGAAATTTCCGTAATTGTCGATATTTCCTAAACTACATACTATATGAATATTTGCATATTTATGTAATGAAAAGAGGACTCTACCCCAAGAATAAAAGGAAGTTTTAGAAATTACTAAAAAATTTCGGAAGTTAGCGAGAAATTTCAGTAATTTCTGATATTTCCTTATATATACATTACATATCTTATGAATATTTATATACTCCTATAGTGAAAAGAAGATCCTACCCGATGAATAAGAAGAAATTTTGGAAATTACTATTTTCTGGTAATTTCCGAAATTTCTTAGTGGTGTCCAACATTTGCACTTATTCTTGGAGTAGATTCTTCTTTTCCTCATATACATATGCAGGTATTGATATTACGTTTTAAAGAAAATTTCACAAATGAATGGAATTTTCTAGAGAGGGATGTATTTCGGAACTGTTGGTTTCTATCGTCAGAGATGGAACCGGTACCGGTTATCGGCCGATCTGGTCCGGTACCGGTACGACTTTTAGACGCACCGGTCTACCGGTAGATTGGTGGGTAATGGTAAACCAACCTGTCTAACCTTTTCAGACCACTATCAGTGCTAGTTGTCAAAAATTCAGACTGATTCCATCTCTATATGAGGTATATGATACAACTTAGCAAATCAAGTTTTTCACGCGATAAACCACGTTGTCTATATCTAAACCACTTTTTTTCTAGCTATGAATTATCCATGTATCATGCGTTACCGCTAGATCGGTTGGTCGTCGGCAGACCAGCCGATCCGATTCGGTCTGACTTTTTCAGACCGGTTCCATCTCTCCCTATCGCTATGATGGTGATCATGATAATTTCTGAACTTTCCAGTTGGTATAGAATTTGTGCTGAAATAACTTTCTGATATTGGATAACTTTTGCGGGACATCTACTTTTTTGGAAATTTGAACATTACTGAAGAAAATAGGACAATTCTGACTCTATTAATGAAGAATAAAAATCATTGTTTTCAACAGAATACCAATGCACTTTTTTCATGTTTCAGTGTTCGGTAGTGTTCTTCCATCGTTGATAACGATAGCCAATAATTTTCTCTCATTATATCGTGTTCGCGAACTGAATACACTAACATCTATGCATATTGTACCATGTCGTCTTCAAATGGATGAAACACGTCATGTTCTTCTTATCACTACTTTGGAATGTCTTTTGGCAATTGTGAAACTGTACTTTGTTGATATTACGTTTTCAATTGGGTTTTCTGAAGAGTATCTATTATATTCTCCAACGCTTTTGTCACGAGATCATATAGAGTTCATGATATTCGACCTTTTCAATGCGACATCATATATTGTCTTACATGGTTTATGTGGTAAACATTTTGGAAATGAACTTAAAAGCATGTTTTAATAATGTCTTACTTGTGTCCGATATCTCTGCAGTAATTGTTGGTGTCATTATCAAATGCATCGTCGTATATGAGGTTATGATCGATCTACAATATACAATGGAACAAAAACAGCTCATAAAAGCTCAAACAGTACCAGAAGTGATAAATAAGGGTGTGGGTGCGGGGTGTGAGTGTGAAGTGTGGGTGTGATTGTGAGTGTAGGAGTGAGTATTGGTGTGGACGTGGGCTTGGATGTGGATGAATGTGGGTGCCGGTGTTGATGTGGATGTGGATGTTGGTGTGAGTATACATTGAAAGAATATTCACACCCTTGCCAACCGATACACCATACAGCCGCTCTCGTTCTGTCGTCTTACCATATTCATTTGAATAGAAAACGAAATAAGAGCATATCTAATATGATAAATATCGTAAATGTCGCTAAACTTGTACTTAATGAAATAATGTAGAAAAAAATCACTTAGATAACAACTTTGGCCGCAGAAGGAAATTCAATCACTGATTATGTGCTGAATATGTTGAAACACGCTCTTACAAGCGAAAGCTATGGAACTGATAATGATACTACGCCAGAGTTCGTTGAAGATGTTGATATCCGCTTTGCACCTGAAGAACATAGCGAGAATGAGAATTTGATCTCCGAATATATTTCATTCACCTTGGACTATATGAAAAAAGTTGTAGACTATCCAGTAAAAAAATGTCAGATTATGTCAGATTATAACTGGATTTTGTTGCACAAAAATCCAGTTATAATCTGACATAATCTTTTCATTTGTCACTCGGAGGACCCCTATATAATTCTTCGTATCAATTTAATAATTGTATATTTGGATATGAACCCATGGATTTTGCATAATCCATTGAACTACGTAATTTCTAACATTTAAAATTACACTGGAATCAAAGGTCACCATAGAATAACTTATTTTCATCCAAAAACCTCCCAGTTATGTTTTTGGATAACACAACTAACCAAACAACTGCGTTCATTTCCGATAATGATTTGGAATGTTTTCAAATGAGAGTTTCTGTGCAAAGAGTATAGATATAAATGAGTCTAGATGTGTATCTGAAAAAAGAAAAGACGAAAATCATATTCAGATTCACACCCTTTCATACTGTCATTTTTTTCAATTTTGAATCCTATTTTATAAGAAAAAGTTATTCTCGTAAAAAATTAATTATATAGTTCGATAGAGAAACTTCAGCTCTACTGAACTGCACATATCACCAAGCGGAAGAATTTGATTTTTCTGGTCAACTTATGAATCGACTTTTTACGTATTTACGCTCATTCCTAGAATGTTCAGTGACAGAGGTGTACATATACATGACTACAAAAATATCCAAAAACAAAAACCTTCAGAATTACAGAAATTAATGTTTTCCATTGATCTACTAGAATCTGAAGCGAATATTTT